TGGGGAAGAAAAAATGCGTCTTATATGCCGAAAAATACGGTAGTTAAATTCAGTTAAATTCACTGGCTACCAGCTTACTCCCAAACCCAATGGAAGTTGCCTTTATTTGACCTTAAAAGTTTTATGTAGTCTGAGACCAAGTTGCCACCAGCTGATAGCTTGCCACTGGAAAAAAAGACCTTTTCTTTAGTGATGCCCAGACTGTAAATTTTCTCTTGAATCATGCTTGTTATGACTTTATTTATTTATGGCTTAACTACTTACCAGAGTTGGTCCTGTTGCAAGCTTTCAGTGGCATTTAATCTTTTTTGTGATACTGTTTTTTTGATTAAATTATAGTAGTCTTAGGGCCTTTACAGACTGCCAGAAATAATGCAGCTTCAGACCACTTTAACTGCCCTAGCTCAGTGCTAGGGAATCATGGGAACTGTAGTTTATTGTGGCACCATAGCTCTCTGACAGAAAAGGCTCTGTCTCAGAAAAAAACTACAATTCCCATGATTCCTTAGCACTGAGCAGGACAGTTAAAGTGGTCTCAAAGTGGAGTCTTTTTAATCTCTTTTTTTTTAAAAAAAATGTTTGTATTATTATTAATTTCATTGTATATTGTTATTTTTAAAAACTTCCACAAATCTTGGCAATATGGCAGGATATTAATTTAGGAAATGAGTGAATAGGTAGATGTCCCTGCAAAAGATAACGCTGCAACTGAGAATATCAGAAATGGATTTTTCTTTATTGACAATTGATATTTTTAACACAATTATGCTAGTAAACTGGCTAGATTAGAAAACTGCAACTTGAGCCAGGAGTTGCTATTCTCAAGCAGCAGCTTGCTATAGCAGAGAAAGAGATCCAAAGACAGTTTGTGTTTTGGCATGAAGGAGATGTGTGGGTCCTCCTTTTTAAAGATAAAAGGTAAAAAAAAGTCATTGGATACAAACATAGAGATAATTTCATTTTAATTTAAAGTATGAATCTTGCATGCATGAAACAAGCCTGCATGCATTTATTCCATCTATTCAGTTGTTGTTGTTGCGTACCTTCAAGTCGTTTATGATTTTATCATGGGGTTTCCATGGCAAAGTTTCTTCAGAGGGAGTTTGCCATGGCCATCCTCTGAGGCTGAAAGAGTGTGACTTGCCCAAGATCAACCAGTGGGTTTACATGGTCAAGCAGGGATTTGAGCTCTGGTCTCCAGAGTCGTAGTCCAATGCTCAAACCACTGCGCTACGCTGGCTCTTTAGATGTTGTTAATAACAAGAGAGATAATGTGACAAAAACTCCATGCAATTAAGCCTAATATATATCTTAATTCTAACAAATGACATGTTTTATTTTGCATGCTTTCCTAGGCCTGACTTGCTGAAGTCAGATGGGATATCCAACACTGAAGTGGTGCCTAGTGGTTCTCCCCTTTCAGGGAGTCCCAAAATGTCAGCACTTAGTAGTAAAGGACGTTACCGCAGCAAACCACGTCACAGGCGAGCAAATAGTAAAGGCAGCTACAATGATTTTGCAGGGATCTTGAAAAACCAGTCAGCACGGGATGACTTGAGCCAGCCAGCTCACCATCAGCAGCTTCACCCCCACCATCATGGGCATCATCCCCGGCTAAACCTACACGGACAGGACATAGCCAATTGTGCTAACAATCTTCGGTATTTTGGACCTGCTGCAGCCTTGCGTAGTCCCCTTAGTCATCATGCCCAACGGAGGATGTCTGGCTCTAGCCCAGATCTTATCTCTGCAGCTATGGAAGCTGATTCACGGAGAAATCTGGAGGAGAAGGATGGGGAGAGCACAGCTGATCATTGGGAATGTTGCCAAAAGGGTACATACAGTCTCTGTCCAGAATGCAGAATGGGGACAAATGGTACAAACCAAGGACAGTCACTTGAGCCAGGACTTGAAGGACCCTCATATGAGCCGTTGTTTGCAAATGGGCAGCTTCCTGGGGAAAGGGAAGAAGGTGAATTTAGCAGCCACAGGTCAGTGTCTTCTCTTGGTTCTTCTCATCCTGCGAGTACTTCAGGACTACCATGTAAAACACGACTCATTCCAAAGGTAAGACCCTTTCTCTAATCCAGGGGTAGGCAACCTTTCCCCTTTAAGGGCCGAAGGACTTCAGCTCCCAGAATCCCAGGAGCTATTGGCCAACATGGGACTATTGGCCAACATGGCTGAGGCTTCTGGGAGCTGAAGTCCCTCGGCCCTTAAAGGGGAAAGATTGCCTACCCCTGCTCTAATCTTCCCAGAAACAATGGAGTACTTTAAAAAAAAAAACTGTTTTCTGATGCCCACTGATTTTACAGGCCATGTGTAAGTTTCTTAACTTGTGCTGTATAGAATTAAATCTCAAGACTTCACTTTATGAATATTACTGTTGTGCAAACTTAGTTTCATATTCAAAGTTTGGAAGTAACATGTTACAAGTAATGATGCATTTTAGGAATGAGAGCATAATGATATTCCTTTGCTGAAATAGCATAATGCTTAATAACAGTTGCCCTGTTAGTGTAATGTTTACTCATTACACCTACAATATTGTTTTGGAGGAGTTTAGAGTTTGTGATATATTTTAAAATGCAAAACAACAACAACAACAACAAAACTTTACTTTTGAAAGGTTCTAACCATTACCTCTGTTGGGGTCCATGTGTTTACAATGTTTTGAAGTAATTAGCAAATAACATTGCATTTTGTCTCTCTGCCAGAGTGGTGATGAGTCCTCAGAAGAAGAAGAAGGAGAAGTCGATAGTGAAGTGGAATTTCCACGAAGACAAAGGTAAACTACTCATATTTTAATCTTAATTGCTAGACTGTGGTTTGAGTTAACAAAAAAGGATGAAGAGAGAATTTCATTATGGCATAATGGAAACTTTGGGCCTTTACAGACTTCCCTAAATAATGCACCCTGAGACCACTTTAACTGCCTTGGCTCAGTGCTAGGGAATCATGGGAACTGTCTCAGAAAAAAACTACAATTCCCATAATTCCCTAGCACTAAGCCAGGACAGTTAAAGTGGCCTCAAACTGCATTATTTCTGGCAGTCTGTAAAGGCCTTGTGTGGGTTTATTCTAATATTATATGTTCTCCAGGTTCTCCAGACATATTTGTGTGTCCATCCGCCTACTTAGAAACAATCTATTATGTAGAAGGAATATAATTGTCAACCCATCAGCCCAAATGGCCGCTGGACAGATGGACATATATAATGCCAATGCACTGTCCACTAATGCATGAGCAGGACTGAATCTGTGCAAAACACTGGGCTCTCAGCCCTCCCACTTCCTGATAAGACCAAGAGAAGAAATATTCCAGAATGTAGTTGAAATTTTGATTTGTTATTTATTTATTTATTTATTTCCAGTCTTTCTCCCTTTATAGGGATGCAAGACAGCTAACAAGTTAAAAACAACACAAAAGCATTAATATATACATATAGTGGACCTTCCACATTTGCTGGCGTTAGGGGCACAGGACCCCAGTGAAGATGGAAAAAGTGCAAATAAAAAAAAATACTGGGTTTTTTTTCACCTGAGAGAATACCTCTCTAGGAATCTCTAGGTCCTCCAGGGCAATTCTGTGGTCAAATTCTGCCAGAAGCCTTGGTGGCACTGTGGTTCAATGCCAGTACTGCAGCCCCTCACAGTCACAAGGTTGTGAGTTCAATACCAGCCAAGGGCTCAGGATTGACAGCCTGGCATCCTTCCAAGGTTGCTAAAATTAGTACCTAGCTTGTTGGGGGCAATTAGCTTACACATTGTAAACCACTTAGAGACTGCTTAGTTCAGTATGAAGTAGTACAGAAATGTAGTGGCTGTTGCTATATAAATTGATCTTAAAATTGTGCTGGAGGACCTACAAATGCCTAGAGAAGTGTTCTCTCTAAGAATCCCTCAGTCCTTAAGCATGACTTTTGGCCGAAGTTGACAACACAGTCACACAGGAGGACCTAGAGATTCCTAGAAAGAACATATTAACCAAATCCTTGAATAATCAAATCTGCAAAAGTCGAAGCAGGGGCAAGTATACAGAATTTAAAATTTGTGGAGGGGCAAGTGTAAAGAATTTAAAAAACAAATAATTTAAAAAAATTAAAAACATTATACATTAAAAAGTAAAATGTATTAAAAATCTGTATAAAGCTTAAAATTAAATTACACAGCATTTAAAACCCAACCTTTATCAGTTTGAAAAAGCCTGACTGCACAAAAATGTTTTCATTTGCTTCTGAAAGGAGAGCTGTTTTTTGCCATGGTAAGTATACAGCCTCTCTGGGCTCTCTAGGGAGGGAGTTCCAGAGCTTGCGAGCAGCCATTGAGAAGGCCCTCTCCCTTACATCTGAACCAAGAATTGTTGTATAAAATAAATTCTATTTGACCAAATACACCATAAAAAAAATTCTAGGTTTGAAATGGGTTTTAGAGAAGAAGGGAAAGTAAAATCTTAAGGAAAAGAAAACTGAAGCAAATAAGAACCTAGCATTTTTGACAAATCAGTGCCCCCCCCCAGCTGTCCATTTTGTTGGTCAAACAAAAAAGAACATTAGATAAAGTGAAATTGGCCATCAGTCAGTCGGAATCCTAGAGACAGAATTATCATGATATACATAGAAAGGAGCACTGTGGGATTTGCCCTCCCATATTTAAGTCCTATCACATCTACCACTAAGATGTTTTAAGAACGGTGTAATTCGGTCTGCATATGGGTGAAAATGGACTACACTTAAACTGTAGTATGGTGGTGAAAACCAATCTAAATATGATTTTGAAAAAGTGTCTTGAAAAACTAGATACTTCCTAGTTGGATGCATACACATTGGAAAATATGCTAGGCTGTTTCAGTCAGGGTATTCACTTGCACACTGGGCTCCTGTAACGTGGATTATATATTTACCATGGAAAAAGATTTTTGTGGCATACAACACTTCCATTGAATGGGAATTGTTTTTAGGGTAAAAATAAAAATAATTCAGGTTTCTTATCCTAAATGGTTTCTTACTAGAAATGTTTTGAATTAATTTGTCTGTTTCAGAAATATAATTTATATTTTCTAATACAGCAAAGGCAATGATTCTCAAACAGTGGGGCAGGACCCCAGTGGGGGATGCGAGAGCTGCTCGAAGGGAATGTGAAACTTGGAGCCCTAATTCCTCTTCCTTCTCCTTTTCACAAACTTTTTTATGTGTAAAATTTACATGAATTGTGTTAAATATTGAATTTAGTTAAATAAAACTATTCTAATTTGAATGATGTTATTTTCTTATAAAATGTTAAAAATGCATATACATGAATGTGCGAATGAAAATACGCACACGAAACATTTATTTATTGTGTTGTGGGGGGGGGTGCTGTGTCACCATGTAGATAGGTCACGGGGTAAAGTTTGAGAACCACTGCAGTAAGATAATAGCTATTTTATGCTGGTAGCATTTAGTAACACTTATTTATAATGGGATGGATACTAAATAAGTTGAAATAAAGTTCACAATAGAAAAGTTTCCTGTACCTTTTCCTACCTTACATACCTGAAAAGGCTTTGGAAAGTTGGAAAGGAAATTCCAGTGGTGTTTCTGTTGAGGGTGGGGAGAATAATCCAAAGTGGTGCAGATCTATATTAATATTCAAATGGGTCTCCAAATAATTCCCTTTGAGCCAACAGTTTCCAGTGGAGTTCCCTGAAGGTTTGAAAAAGTTTGGTTCAGCATGAAAACAGGAATTGTACCATAAGATGATTTCGAATGTGAGAATATTGCACAAATAGTTTGCATAGTGGTTAGATCATTTTTATCAGTGTGACTTCATTATATTTAGAAAATGTATTTTGTTGTCTAGTACATTATTACTTAGAATCCTGACACAAACATGTTAATTAAGGTTCTTACAACAAAAGAGTCTGCAAGATCACATTGGTTAGTTGAAGTAGGAAAAATTCACTGGTAGCAAATGGTTACACAGAATATTTTTCAAGTCCTGTGTATAATATGTATGCTTTTAGGAATGTCAGAGCTGGCCTTCTGCATACTCTTGTTTGTGTTATTGTACTCATTACATCAGTTTCAGGTTTTGAACAAAGTCAAACTAATTAACGTGCTGTGCATTTGCAGACCACATCGTTGTATCAGTAGCTGCCAGTCCTACTCAACTTTCAGCTCTGAAAATCTCTCTGTGTCTGATGGAGAGGAAGGTAATACTAGTGACCATTCTAACAGCCCAGATGAGCTTACCAGCAGA